GACCTGCATATTGTTTCCAGTGTCGTGCTTTGATTTCAGTTGTAGGCTTTGGTAAACTGCTGGGCTATTTAAGCTCATTATATGTGGTTAATATTTCAGGTGCAGAGCCTCCCGCGGGAAGCTTCTTCGATCGCTGTAGCTTTGTTTTTTTGTAGCCCTTGGTAGGCTTTTGTTTTGTAGCCGTATGACTATTGTACATATTCTTTTGGACTCTCTTTGGACTGTGTTTATGTTGATATGTGGATTATAGTAGATGTTGTATTTCTTTCCTGTAATGCAATTATCTCTAGATGACTGTATTGATCTGAACGAGAAAAAAAAAAGAATGAAAAAAAAAATAATATGGAAAAAGAATGTCAGATGAATCCTTTCACTATTGATATCTGGGACGTTACAATACCTACCAGGTAGGATAGTTTTCATCTTCCAAACATATATCTACCTCAATACCCAACATGCACTATATGTTAACCTTAGAACCTAGGTTAGGGGATTATGTTCTTTATTTCTTTTTACATATCTATATTTGTATTTCTTTTAGTATTCATGCTTTATGTTATACTTCATTTTATTTTTCATTATAAATTTTAAATTGTTAATTGCAAACTCAAATCCCAAAATAAATTAAAAGACATCTTATTACAACTTTTGACTAGATGTTAAAACTGAAACTTTTAGTTAGGCAATAAAACAATCAACACCAGAACATTAATTGACACCTTGAACCCCATAATTTATACACTAAAACTTACTTATTTTACAAAAAAACATAAACTGGTGCACAACGGACACTTGCATGCATGGTTTGAGACTAGTTCTTGCTAGTGTTTAGGGAAAAGTTTTCTACTCGAAACAAAACAAAATCGTTTTAACAACATAGCAAGATAAATAGGAATATAGAAATGATGAATTGCGTTTAGGATAGAAAGAATGATCCACCATTCATAGTCAGGGGACATTATGATTTCTTAGATGTCGGCCCCAATCTTATTCTTAAAATAATAGTCTTCCCTATCTTTCAATTCATATAATCAGACATCATGATTTCAAAGTGTTAGGTGGAGTTTAGTTGGCAGTCCTATCAAAACATGATCATAAGTCTAGAAGAGTCGGGCTTTCTTAAATCTTCAGCAGGGTGAGAGATATAAGTCCTATTACATTTCTTTAGATTATCTGAGTTACTATTATGTAATTACTCATCTTAGTTCTAAGTTTTAAGGCTGATTGTGCATCGTAGACCTGCACCTATTGGGCATTATCTTGATATGGTGTTCAGGAATATAAAGAGCAATGTCTTTTGAGAAAGAGGTTAGTTTTTGAGAGACAAGAGCCTTGCGAGATCAAGGGGTTGTGTGAGAGGGGTTTTACACACGGTTTCTCCATGAACAATCACATTCTTCCTCCAAGATTCATTGTTTTACTTGAGGTAAACTCTGAAAATAGGCTCGTGGCATCAATGGATCTAGCTACTCCACCACACCTGGTTGATGTAAAGGGATTCAGGTTCTTTGCATCACCAAGAGGGTGAAAAGGATTTTTGCTTCTCTGCTTGTGTATTTGGTTAAAATTTTTTCAAAGAAAAGTTTTTGAAAAAGAAAAATTTTTAAAACATCAATTCACCCCCTTTTGATGTGTCTTGGCAGTTCAATAAGGTTTAACATTCTCATTTGAACTTTCAAATATATCATCAATCCAATTATTTATTATTTAAATATATAGATCATATAGATGTTAATGGTAGCATTTAATGTCATCGCACTAATATATTCTAATCAAATTGTGTATGTTTGTGTCCTTAACAGCTTGTAACTATCTCTTAACATAATTTCACAAAAAATTAAATATATATTCTAAAGATATTTTGCAAGTTTTTTACTTATGAAAATTTAGGGTATGCTATTGAATGCTTTTATAATAACTATCTTAATTATTTTTCAACTTAATAATCTCGTCTTCTTACCTTAAGGGATAAAATTGAGCCCTTGGTATTCCAAAATATTGTTTATATAATTCGTAATTTTGATTTTTTATTCTACCAACTTCAAGGAATTTAAGAAGGCAAAGTTAAAATTTTATGCTCTAGTGTAATGGTAAGTGGATAAATATGTCTCTGACTATTCCAACTAAATGTCTCTTATCAACTTTGTTGACCTTTTTAAGTTGATTAACAACAAAAATTTGCTTAATTACCATCGAGCTTAATTAAAGTTCTTTGCAAAAATCAAATCACATACTTTACCATTGCAAATAACTCGAGCCTTGTTTTTTATGTCAAATTCTTTTAATCACGCCAAAATTAATATTTCGCTGAATAAAAGTTTGACCCGCTATTATCATTTCTCCCAAACATTGTATTCGGATGTGTTAGTTGAATTTATGACATGAAAAATAAAATTTTCATTTACTGATTTGAAGATCTTTTTAGCTTTTATTATCTTTTTCTCTCTCTCAAATTATAAGAAAGTTGACTTAAATTATGATTTTTTTTTTTTGAGATTTTAAGGCAATCAATATAATCGAAATCACATGCCCATTTACGTTTTAGTTTTTTTGAATGATTGATTTTAGCGTACGATTTAGTTTCTTTGAATGATTGATATTTAGCGACAAGTTGTCCCAAAAAATTTTCCTTAGGGCTGTTTCTCAACAGGATTTCTGCAGGATTTGAGCAGGATTTTAGCCAAATCCTGCCAAACGGCCCGCTAAATCCCATCCCGAGCGATCTGGTGGATCTGTCGAGCTTTCAATTCAGTAGTAGGTCTACGGGCTTTTTTATGGCGTTGGGATTTCTTTCTGTACCTACACATATGAATACTTTCGCTTTCACTAATCGCTTGTGGTGGGAAATGAAGGAAGACCAAGGGTTGGCGTACTGGATGAGGTGGCAGGTCGTCGTCTGCGCGTTGATCGCAGCCCTACCGTCGCTGATTGCAATGGCTGTTATTTTGAAGGCAGAGAAGCAGCCGCTGAGCGCGGCTTCTCTGTGGACTCCCTGCTGGAAAAAGTTGAATCCGTACTGGTTGCTGGCATACAGAGGCCTTGCGTTTCTGTTCATGGCCTTGCTTCTGGGTCAGATGGTCCTCCTCAGGGGTGCCTTCAACTTCTTCTTCTATACTCAGTATGGCCTCCTCTTTTTCAATCATTCTTGATTTGCTTTTGCTACTTCGTGTACCTTTTTAACCTTGATCTTATCTGCATAAACTCTTCTTCTGCTTGGATTTCTTTTCGGTTTAAAAATATTGTCTTTTTCGAGTAACTGGCAATCGCGGGAACGATTTGCGGCATAGGTCACCTTCATAACTGTTCTTTTCATGGATTAGATTGTGCCAGATGGCAAGTATGGAATAGATAATTGCATTTGTTGCCTTTGTGACGACATTGCGAGTGTAATTGATTGGATTAGAAGCTAATGTTGATAGTATTGTTCACTGTTTATTATCTAATTATAATAATAAAATTCTCTTTATAGTACGAGGAGTTCTCCCCTGTATTCATCCTTGATGATTTGCCAAATTAAAACTGCTTCCATAAAAACAGGTACCATGATCCGTCACACGTAGACATTGGATGGTGGCAACCGTTGAACATTTAACAACACCCTGGCCTAACTGGGTGTTGCCAAGCCTTCATCTAGCTTAGATGGCAGCCAAACAACTGCTGCCCACATTAGGACTTACCAACATGTGATCCAGATGAGGCTTTCTCCCCTATCCTTGGTTGGAAGGTTACATGCAACTACAGGACCGTGATGGCTATATATTGTCGCAGGCCTTCAACACTACAAGGTGGCTACTATCACTCCTTGGCTAGTAGCTCTTACCACCCTTAAGATCATCATGCAAATTACAATGACGGTAAATGTCACTCGCACATGACATGCTACAATTTAATTCAAATATAGTGAAAAGTATGCTATGGATGATTAGGTTTCGAACTAAGATTAGATTTGCTATATTAAATTAGGGTATTTGAATGGAAAGATAAGATAATTGGTGGACACAATGATTAGATAAAGATTGATATTGCTTGTTTTCAATAAACTAAATGGAATAGGAAAAAATCTTAAGCATATTGGGGAAATTTAAGTTATTAATAGTTGAAAATGTTAAAAATAGAAGTAGAGTTCGGATAATATTGTATAGAGAGTAGAAAGATAAAAGTCTTGAGTTAAATATGAGAGTTGTTAAGGTGATTGTTATTTAGTTAATTACTATGTGGGCATCCATTACTGTTTAAAGTTCTTAAGTTAGATTAAAAATTATTGTAAAGGTAGAATTATGGGAAAAATATTGCTACACAATAAACATGAGGAAGTGTGAGTAATTATTATAAGTTGTGGCCTTTCAAAATTTACGTTGCGGCCTCTCCGCAACCCCTTTCCTTTCGTGAGGAAAGTTTTAACGAGTTTAAGTTTCGAGATAAATTTTCAGAAGACTTATTGGTTTTAAATAAAATATTACCCAAAGATTTCTCCCTCATTTTGCAAGGACTTTATGATCTAAGTTTAGTTTTCCTATAGGCGCAAGCCTCTATAGTTAATTACCCCTTCCGATAATGAGAGAGAACTTTCGATTAATGCTAATCGTCGAAAAGATACGTAGTATCCAGCATATAGTAGCAGCATAAATTGATATGAAAATTGAAATTTATATCACTATGCACTTAAAATGAATGGTGGGGGGAATGATGATAAATCCAATCAAAATCTCATAATTCCATCATCCTAGGTCATCATAATCCCTACTTTACTTAGTCAGAGGATGTAGTCGACCCAACCTGATTGAAGGATCCTTGTCGGTAGTCATGGGTTACTTCGTCCAAGGTTCCTTGTAGATTTAGGGTGAATATTTGCCTAAGTAGATAAATTTGAGCTCACCTTACCTAACAGAGGGCTTTATACACTATTAGCCATCCTATTGATTCATTACTCAATTAATTAAAGCCATTAGGGAATATACAGACTTTGACCATGATCGTAATTTAGTAGTACCATTTGATAGCAGAACTACTCAGTCAAAGGATCCCTGTCATAACCGTTTACCTGTGGTGCAATTTGACGATGAAATCATTAGTTTGAGGACACATAATACATCCTTACTAGTAAGAGATGATTTGAGAATGAATCCTAGTGATATTCTCGACTAGACATTCGCTTTTTGTGAGCTGAATTGATTTCTAAACTTGTCCATCTTGGCAAACTATTGCGAAGGGTTGATGTGTATTTTGCTTTAAGTTATTAGATGATTAAATCTCAACTTCAAATATTAGTTATTATTAATAGATGTAGAGTTTTGAGTCACTGATAGATTCTTTTATAGTCAATCCCTTCGGTTGATATTTACATTCAACATGGTCATCGTTGGGGTAATGTTAAAGTCAATTTAGATGTTTGTATTTTTTAGAAATTTGGGAGGTATTTTAAATATTTTGGGTCCCTTCTAGTTGAGATTTTCTATCAACATAGCCATTATCAAAGATATATAAATAGGTTGTGTATCTGTCATTTGAACCATGTCAACTCTGACAGCCAGCTAATAGAGGGTTGTGTTTAATTATTGATGTTGTAAGTTATCATGCTAATATTGAGAATCAAGAGTTTTATGCTTTTCGCAATGAACATTTCTTGTAATAGACCTTAAAGGCCTAATATGAACTTATAAAATCAAATACTCCAATCGGCGCTATGATTGTGTATTTGTTCAGTAGTTCAAGTCATGTCAACCCCGGTCCATTCAAAGAGAAGGATTGAACTTGAACTCAAGTTTACTTTTGTCCTGCATAACATCCTTAGACGTCACATGTATATATACATCATACTCATCGGGGCCCATGCTGATATATACTTTTGAATGTATTTTGCATAATGTATTTATATGGTAGCTATTTATATGTAATGCAGAAGGTGTATACGACAAATCTGAGTTTCCACATACACACTCATGTATGCATCTGCATGCTGACATGCTATCATATGCATTTGTATATTTACATGTATACATGTATGTTGGCATATATATTTATGCAATTTTAATCATGCTTGTATGATGTGTTAATATGCAGCATAGTAGCTTATTTCATTAACATAGCATATGGTATATTTGCATGATATATATGTATAGTGCATCCATGCATTGCTTGTTTATTTGCATGATGATTCAATGCTCTTGTGTAGTGCATGATGTGTTTGCATGTCAGCATAGCACGCTCTTCTACACAGTACATCTTGCATGTCGGATAGTGTATTTGTATAATATACTTTGCATATTAGGCAATGTGCCTGCACAGTGTATTCGTGTGTGTACTCTATATGCCTTTCAAAGGCTCTGGGGAAACCGAAGGGAAAAATCGTGCGACGCTGATCGGGAGACTTCTTTCTCTTGGATTGGAGATCTCGTCGCCGGGATTGGACGGTGCTTTTGTGGAGGGAAAAGGTCTGGTGGTGGATCTGGATGGAGAGATGGTGTGAAGAATGTGTCAGGGGGGAATGCTGTGGGAGATAATTCTGGAAGTAGCGGTGGAGATGGTAGGGAAAGGAGATTCTCATTGCCTGGGTTGGGAGGTCTTGCGGACCTTGGTGCTGGAGGTAGTAGATTGGTGTATGCCCGATCTCCGAGTAGAGCTGGATCTACTAGATCGGGTGGATCTGATGAAGTTTCGGATGCGGGGAAAGAGCTGGTTCTTTCTTCGGAGCTGGAGATCAGGGGATGGATGCACGGGATGTGCCATTGCAGGGGTCTTCTGATCGTGAGGAGGTGATGGAGATTCTTGGGGGATCTGAGGCTGAGGACTTCCTTAAAGAAGTTGTGGCTAGTATGGGATCTGTGGATCATTTAGAGGAGGTGGATTCTGTTGTGACTGGTGGTTGTGCGGAGGATGTGGAATAGAACGGAATGTTGATTACTGAGGAGATTATGCAGGAGGTGGCGAATGATAGTTCTACTGATGGAAAATTGGTTGCTGGTGACCAAGTGAGTCAAGGTGATATGGCTATTGATCCACAGCTGGCGGGAGAGATGGAAAATGAGGAGGTAATTTTGCTTGCTGCTGCGGAATCAACTGAAGTAAGTAAGGTAGTGGACAATCCTATCTTTGAACATGATAAACCTTTATTCATGTTTGGGCGGATGAGTCGTATTGGAGACCTTGGGAAGGTGGGTATGGCTCGAGTTGATAGTGAAGCTGGTTTGAATACTGAACGAGGCAATTGTAGTCTGAATTTCGGTGTTCTGGATAAGTTACCTGAGGTGAAGGGTGTACAGCCAATTAGGGGTGATATTGATGGTCTTGAATGCAATATCAAACTTAATTCTGCAGGATGCGCTTCAGGTGTTTGTGGAAATGATCAGACTGAAGAGTTTCCTTCAATCCAAGCGTGACAAACTCCGGCTGTTGTTAAGGCAGTTAAGAAAGAATTTGTTGATATGGGAAATGGTAGGAATGCATGGAAGAAATCCCCTGCTGTCAAATTAAATTTGAATGAAGAGGTAAACAGTTTTTTGCGGGAAGATGGATCAGTTAAATTGGACTTGAGCAAGGCTAGGGGTAATATTCAGAAGCTTAGCAGAACACTGGTTGGCAGCCTCTTAGGAAGGCGTCTTCCTTTTTGGGTTGTGCAAAATGAATTGCAAAGGAAGTGGAGTCATCTTGGTTTGACTCAGATTAAGCCATTGGGATCTGACTGCTTTCTCTGTTGGTTTGTAAATATGGAAGCAGGGGATAATGTTCTTATTGGTGGTCCTTGGTATGTTGCTGGTCAGATCATTGGGGTGGAGCAGTGGTCAACAGGGCTTTCATCTAAATCTTTTAGAGGATTTACGTCTCCTGTGTGGGTAAGACTTCCAAACTTACCGTTAGAATATTGGGATGAAGCTAATTTGGCTAGGTTGGCGAGGGGCATTGGGGAACCATTATTAATGGATGAGCAAACTAAGCTTTGGAATAGATGTGCGTTTGCGCGCATTTGTATTAGACTGGATTTATCTAAGAGATTACCTAAGGGTATTTGGGCTCATGGTTTGGAAGGTATGTTCTTCCAACCAATTGAATATGAAGGCATTCCTCAATTCTGTTTAAGATGTGGAAGGGTTGGCCATAAAGCTGAGCTGTGTAAGGAGTCTT